TATAAATTTGTTTGAAATATATTATTTATTTGGAATATCTAATTTAATTTTGTTATTGAACATTTAATTTGTAATTGAAAACCTATTTCATACCAAAATAATGGAACCTACACCTTTGAGAGTCTTTTATTCAAATTAAAAAATAATTAAATTAGAAAGAATATGGGCCTACATATTTTCAGGTGAATAATTTTTCTTTACAAGTAGTCGTGTATAGGGCCATTAATTTGATCTATTTTGTTTAAAACCTGTACTTAGTATGTGAGTAATTTTTCTATTCAATAAATAGCCATGTGTTCCTTGTTTAGAATTAGAGTTAACCACTTACACTGAATGGAAGTGGAAAGTGGGTAGGTTTTGGACTGAATTGTTTTTGATGTGCTAACCAGTGAGATCCATCATAGGTCAAATATCTAAGCATGTTGGGTTAGTTTAAAAAAATTACTTGAGTAGATAATCATAATGATAGGATTGGTCCATTTGTCAGACAAAGTAAATATTAGGATTTACACTCTCTTTTATGAAAACCTAAACTATTGGCAATAGATTTCAAGTACATTTGAAATTTAATTTGCAAAATGTATTTAATATGTTATATTACTATTATACGAAAAATGTTTGCAAAAGGTTTTAATCCCAAAATCTATCTAAATAGAGATTGTGGCAATCAGGGAAGAGGTCCTTCCTTATGAGTAGGGGTGAGCATGGACCGGTTTGGTTCGGTTTCATGGCAGAACCTAGAACCTACCTTGTGGGGGTCGGTTCTGAGTTTTTGGAATTGAAACCAGGGTTGGTTCTAGCCTTGGTGGTTCTGAGGTTGGTTCTAGGTTCTACCCATGGAACCTATTCTTTCTTTAATCTCCCCCATTAAAAAATGAAACATGTCTTTAAAAACTTGATTTTCAATAATGATAACATATAGTTTAAAGCTTAATTATATTATCTTTATTGATTAAATTGAGTAAATTAATATGTAGATTATCATAATATATTAATATATGGTTCGAATTTTGTCATTATAATTTAAATTTTGTAAATATTACCTTATTTACATTACTTATTATACACATTCAAATATTAAAATGAAAACAAATGATCAAATCACTTTAGTAACTCAATGGTCAACTGAGACCATGGTTTTTGTGACCATGAGTGCTTGGGTTCAAATCTTTACATCCTTAAAAATATTTAGGGGTTTATTTCATGAAAAGTTCGGTTCCACCAAGGCCAACCAAGGTTGGTTCGGGTAGGCTAAACCCTTAGACCATGGAAATTGTTAGACAATGTATGCTCTTAGCTCCAATCAGAATATGATGTACCTTATGACATTTAATGTAAATGAATAAAGTATATATTTGATTCATGTTATTATGGTGTGTTTCTGTGTAATACCCTTAAATTGGACACATATGAGACTCGTGTTAGTTTAGAATCTTCAAAGTCGTTGGATAGATCTGGGGAGATTTATCCTACTAAAGTTGACACTGATGTGCCGCCAAGTTGGTTGGGGTGGCTTGTCTCAGCTGCTAGGGTGAGACCTAAGGTACATGCCATGTGGGTTTTCTTGAAACCCTGAACCAGACCAGAATTCCACTATTGCCCTGGACCTTGGAGATAGATGGGAAAAACTGGAATATTACACCTGACCCCTAGACTCGATTATGATACACTGCACTAGGTGTCGGATTGGGCTATCTTTGATATGCCAATCAGTGAGATCCTTAGAGGGGGTCAAAACCTGGGTATGTTGGAACAGTCTGAGAATTCATCTGAGTGGGTGATTATAATGACAGGATCAGCCCCTTTGTCGGACAAAGTGAATGATTAGGGATGCACTCTCTCTAATGGAAATCAAAGCTGCCGACATCCGATTTCAACCGTTGAAATTTGTTTTGTAAAATATATTTATATAGAGA